TGTCTCTTCAAAGTCTTCTTTTCAGCTGGATTACATAGAGAACCAAGTTTGGCTTTTTATATCTGGTTTCTGAAAATAGCCTAAGCAATAGATTTATTTTCTCAAAAAGCCAGTCCATTCTTAAACTTAAGTTCTAAGTTTCCAATTCATCTCCTCGCCAACACCCTCTGAAGCCTGGAGTTTGCCCAGGCAGAATGTCACACAGATTTTAAATGCTAAAACGGTTGCTGATGAAGCCCATGGTCTCCTCAACTCTGAAGCTAGTGGGGGAGACATAGCATTGTTTATAGTCCATCTAGGTGGACCTATCTGGCCAGTAGTCAGTAGGCTCCCATGTAGCCCTTGGCCACGATAGGGTGGCAGGAGTACATGAAAAAATTCTCTATGATGTGTTAGGAAACCACTGCCCGCAAGATTGAAATCTATTCTATATGTTTTTATTAAGCCTTCAACAAGACAAAGACAAAACCCAAGAGAATCATTTGGATGAGGACAATTGCATGTTGCCAGTACAGAGACGGATGGAATCTGCTGAATCTTAAGCATAATGTTCCGTACACAGGGCAGAATACTAAGGAAATCATAACATCATGATTGGTGGCGGGTCAATTCATCGCTATTGCAAGGGGACTACAGAAATGGGGAAATATGTGTATAACTGCAGGTTTAAAAAGGTTACGAGTTATTCTAGGGTTTTAATTTCCTGGCTATGCGGTTTTAGGGCATGACTCATGTGCATGTGATCCTGAGGTAGCATCGCAAGGTGGTTGCAAGATAATACCAGGACCTTCACCTTTAACTTACATGAGAGCAGTGGTTCTCAACCTTCCTAATGCCGCAACCCTTTAATACAGTCCCTCATGTTGTGGTAACCCCAACCATAACATTATTTTTGTTGCTACTTCATAACTGTCATTTTGCTACTGTTGTTAGTTGGGTAACCCCTGTGAAAGGCTCGTTTGACCCTCAAAGGGGTCGCGAGCCACAGGTTGAGAACCGCTGCATTAGATGATATGCATCTGATTAACTTTTCAATTCATTAAGGACATGTCCAAATGAGTTACCTAGTTAGCTCTTCGTGTGATCGTGTGATCATCTATCTTCATAGTAGTTAATCTAAATTTAAATACCTCCATTCTTCCTTTGAAGCAAACTGCATTTCCCTAGGCTTGTCCAAGACTTGTCTAAGTCTAGCCACATTGTTTAACCTTAAGGGGATCTGAAATTGTGTTCAGACTCAAAATGCAATTGGCTTTCCACAAGTCACGTGCTTTTGTACTTAAGCACTCAGATATTCCTTCCTCTTGATCATGGATTTTATTTGAAATCCTTTAGTCATGCTTAGGCTGATATATTCCTACAACAAGGACTGGTTGATGGCGCCTTTAGATGATGGTTGGTTTTAAGACAAGTATTTAAGACCCTAGACACTGTTGATGCATACTTCATTCTGATCACTACAGCTGTTTCTCCTAATACCCGTATTAGATGGAATGGTGAGAGATCTTGTTCTGGGACCTTGGGAAGATTGTCATCTGCTTCTTCCTACTAGGGTGTTTCAGCTTTACTTTTAAGGGGTTTAGATCATTGGCCAGTCCAAATGAATGCTTTAGTCCCTTTAAATTGTAACAAAGGTATCTAAGGTTTAATAATTCCTGGTTCAACTAAGTATGGGCTGATAAGGTAGGGGAGGTTTCGTCTATCCCAGCAGGGTTTTAATAGGCATTTTAACAGATGACTCCGTGCATATATATGTATACATACATATATATGTATTTATATATTTGGTGAACTAAATCAGGTCTGGACAGTCTAGTTTATCAAAGAACTCTCTCACTAGTGAAAAATAATAGTTTTTAAAACATGCCTTCATCAGCTACACTAGATTATCTTTCAATAGGATGTTCAAAATTGAATGTGATATTCCCAGTATAGCCCGACTTTAGTGTTCTAAAATAATTATCTTTTTTGTGTGGCCATTTTTCAGGAGTTCTGGTGATATAGCCTTGGTAGTGTAGTGATTACACTTTGAGCTGTTAACTGTAATGCCAGCAGTTTGAAACCACCAGCTGCCACAAGGAAGAAAGATGAGGTTTTTTACTCCCATAAAGAGTTAGTTTGAGAAACCCATAGGGGCCGTTGGACAGTGTAAGATATGACAAAATAATAATAATCTATAAATTATAAAGGGTTCATGAGGGAGGGGGGAGGGAGGAGGAAAAAATGAGCTGATGCCAGGGGCTTAAGTGGAGAGCAAATGTTTTGAGAATGATGAGGGCAATGAATGTACAAATGTGCTTTACATAATTGATATGTATGTGTGGGTTGTGATGAGTTGTATGAGCCCCTAATAAAATGATTAAAAAATATATCTTTTCAATGATCAAGAAAGGTCAACAAGATTACCTTATCATTTCTGGGTTTAAGGGACATACTCAAGATTAAACTTGGAAATATTTGTGGGCCTCCTATCTTAAGTATTAAGAGTCCTAAGAATGGAGGCAATTAAACTGGAAGCTTTTTTCCTGCACATGCACCTCAGATTGGATCTTTCTAAGATAAATTGTTGTCAGTTTTAATACATCTTATTATAAAATGGTGCAAAAATTGTTATCAGAACATTTTATCCAATAGTGTAGTCTTTACAAATTATCTTTAAAAGCATGAATGGTGGGTTGAATTTCTGTGTGATTTTTATTCCACAACTAAAATCACTAAAGGAACATTTTCCCCTCACCTTTGTGTTGGCTTCTCAGAAAGCCTTTAACAAGTGATCCCCTTACACATTTCGAACATTCCACTGAGCACAGGAGATTCCACTACAAAGGTCTGTCATTTATTTTTTTCATCAGTAAACAAAATGAAGCAGAACCCATCTATTCCCTCCATGGCTTATAAAAAAAAAAGCCCATTTTCTCAGCAGTGAAACAAGGATTGCATTTTCTGTATCTTGAAAGTTATTGTGTAAGTGAGAGATAATTCTGATAAAGTGCCAAAATAAAACATAGGACAGGGGGTAAATGGTAGATATATAGAAAATGTTTTGTATTTATAGTCACCAGATCCACCAGGTAACATAACAAGGCTTGTTTTCACTTAATCTTTTTTAAATCCTTAATTTCATGTCGTCAAAATATAGGAGATGGAACTGGAATCTCCCTTCCATGAGGCACAAGTAAAATATAAAGGAAGACACTAAGGAGAAAGATGGGTGGTGAAAGCTTATCTGAGAGATGCTTTGAGTTAAGCAAGGGGCCAAACTGGTTGTTAGATGTACAATTAAGTCATAAGGGCTGGCCTATTGAGTCAAAGGGTGAGGATTTCTTTTAACCCAATTAAATGAAGATGCTGGTGTCACAGTGCTGAATATTTTGTAGTAGCTGCCAGTGCTGCATGTACTGAGTATTGAGGAAGGATCAGAGGGAAAGCGGCACTAGAGGCAGAGTTGAACGCTCCACTGTCTATGCTGACATGCATGTATAGTGCCTCCTCCCACCAACTGTTCATACATTCAGGAGATAAGGTTCACAGCCTGCGCGTGCAGTATTTCTTTTAAAGAAAAGTCTGGGCAGTGCACATTTTCAGTTGTCTAAACCTGTTTGCACTGGAATTATCGCAGCGCATGCTCCAAGGAGCTACACTGCCTCAGTGGCCCGGTTATTAAGGACATCAGGGTCAAACCCATGAGCTTCACTTTAGGTACAATGAGCTCCATGTTCATCAGAAAGGAAAAAAGGCACATGAGTATTATAATGTGTTCTCCAAGGGCTCAAGTAGAAAGCAAATGTTTTGAGAATGATGAGGGCGACAAATGTACAAATGTGCTTGACACAATGTATGTATGTATGTATGTATTGTGATAGTTGTACAAGCCCCCAATAAAATGATTTTTAAAAAATCCATAAGGCTTCCTCTGAAAGATGTCTCACTACAATATATAGACTATGCATATGTATTATATAATATACATGCTATCTATTATATGTAACGTAGAAAAGCTACACAATAATAAAAAGTATATCAAATGAAAAAAAAAAGGTGTTCTCTTCTTCCTCTGCTTCTGTACCCTCCATGGGAAACCATCTGAGGAAAGACAATATTGGGCTTCTTTGAGTAGATAGCTTTGAACGATGGGTCAAACCAGTGAATAGCTCTTGACTCAAGTGTATAGAATATCCACTTGGAGAGACTTTTAAACACATTCACACTCTATTGCACATAACTGAACCAAAATCTTGTGGGGGATGTGGGCCCTGCTGTTTTTTAAAGTTCTGAATCAGATCACCTGTTCATATCCTCACCTTTCCTGTCAATCTAGGAGACTAGAATACTGGCCACAGGAAGAGGGTATAGTTGATTTTCTTTAAGTCCTTAATACAATGGGGGGAGTACATACTTGACTGAGATGGGAAATCAAATGGCAAAGGGGAAACCTATCCAAGAGGCAGAGACAAGTCGAAACTGAATTTAGTAACTATTTTGTGCTTTGAAGGCTTTAAGTTTCTTTCCTAGGTAATATATACTGTGTTGAATGTGTCCTGAAATACAATGCGAATGGATGGGGTGTACACAAGAACATACTATTGTGAAACACAGTGTGCCAGGACTATAGACATTATATGATTATAATATTATTTTTGTGAATGGAGAACTTTAGAAAGAACATTTTAAAAATCACTCCAAGAAAAGAGGCTAAAATTCAAAGAAAAGTGGAATGTTGTGTCCTTACCCATTGCCAATCCAGGCCTAGTTAACACCTAACAAAAAGAATGTCCATGTGCCTGTCCGGCCTGTTTGAAAACAAATTCTATTCGCTTCCAGAACGGGTGTTCAAGTGTCCAAGCCATCAGCACATCAGTTTTCTATCTGAAAATGGGCAAAAGCTAGAGGTAGAACATATACACATCTCTGAAACTATCGAATTACATGAAATCACATCATTTTCTCCCCAACTGGTACACATTTTTATGTTGACAATAGTTGGAAATGTTAAACACATATTGGAAATATAAAACACAAATATTTTGAAATGTGTTTGGGCCAGGTGTATTAAAATAAAATCAAAAATAGAAACATTAGGTATATACATGGTAGGATAAGTGAAGGTAATATATCATTTTCCATCAAGGATTATAGTAGAAAAATTTAGTAAACAAAACTTCTTTCTTGTTTTCTTGCTGCAGAGCTTCATATTATCGGCTATAAGTAGTCTCACACATATTACACAATTTTAAAAGATTGCTGAACCACACATAAAATCCAGCCAAAAATATAGCATTATTACACTCAAGTACATCTAAAATTAATGGTTTCTTATTAAAATAATTTTCAAATCATTTGAAGCAACAAAGAGAATTCTAGGTTTCCCTATCACCTTATGCAGAGATTAGAATATTTGATTTTCCAAACTACATTATCAAAAATGTCTACATAAAGGGAAATAGGGACTTGTGAAATTGAAAAGCTGGAATGTTAAAAAACATGCTTTCTGAAGGCAGAGAGGTTTCTGAGCAAGCTGTGGTATCTTCTCCATTTCTTGAGGTCTTACTGCGCCCTGTGTAGTCAGTGGGGCCTGCGTCCCCTGTGCAGTCTCACAAGTAACACATCTCCAGGAAGGAATGTGGCTTTTTCTGTCTGGAGATCTCTGCAGCCGCAGGGATGGAATAACAGTTTCAAATTACCAAGGGAAGGAGAAAAACACCCCAAGTCCCAAAAGACATCTTTAAGTTGCAGATTTCACCTGCAACATCTAACCGGTTGAATTAGTAATTATTAATACCCTACAAAATAAGCCGAAAGTACAGAGAAATGACAGGATAAGGATCAGGATAGTTTAACATTCTAAAGGAGTATTGCTCTGCTACTGTTTGGGATTTGTTGCGATGGTCTCTGAAACTTTGGGTCACATGTCCAGTTGTAAACACAGGGCCAGAGCAGCTGCACTTTGGGCAAGACAGGAATTCTCTTTGCAGAAAACTATTCAGAGATGGATCTAGCATAACAAGACGATCCGTTGAGGAGCAGTCCAAGCTGCAAACCAAAGAGCCTGAATCTAGAAGATAATCCTTTTCTATATAGAGGGTGTTCTTCCTCAGCAACTTGGCCTCTGCTGTTAGGCACCAGGAATGATCAATGGTCCAAGCACGTGAATAACTAGTGCAGCCAATGTTTGTGATCTTTTCTTCTGAAATGAGACAGCCACCATAGCTAGTCCTCCCCTGGATACGTGTCTCCCATTGTGCTAGGGCTGCTGTTGATATTGCCCTTCTGTTGCTGTATAGAAGTCATCCAGGACACTCTGCAAGTAATCAAACGTGGGCCTCTCTTCTGCCTTCTCCTTCCAGCACATCTTCATGATGTCATAGAGCTCGTCTGGGCAGTTCTCCATCCGGGGCATCCTGTATCCTTGAGCCAGGGCAGTCATCACATCAGCATTGGTTCTCCCTGTGACAAATAAAACACACCATTTAGAAGCCAGGCTGGAGGCTCAAGCCCTGTAGTATCCTTTCAGTAGCCACATCCCACAGCTACTAATACTACGAGCTATAGAGGCTAATGAAATGTCCGCAAGGAACTACATATGTAAACTTTAGTATGGAGAGTCAAAACAGCATCAGTCAAACCGAGAAAAAGAGGCAAATATGTTTGGTACCACAGCTTGCTCAGAAGGGAATGCATATGAGGGGTTACCGCCCCTCAAAAAAAACAACAACAACCCAGAATTTCCCCCCCAAAGCGATGTATTTATTTATTTTTTTAACAAAACAACCTTATCACCTTCTATTACACTTAATACATTTGTCAGATCTGCTACTCCATTCCTGGAAACATTTTTCAAACTCATTTGTTTGGATGGCTGATAGCACCTCCCTCGTTTTTTTCACCTCTTCTAAAGCCATCAAATTGCTGTCATTTCATGTTCCTCTTCTTTCACAGAAACAAAAAGAAGTCACACCGAGTGAGGTCAGGTGAGTAAGGTGTGTCGGGCAAGAGAGGCATGCTGTTTTTTGCCAAAAACTGGTGCATTGTCATGGTGGCAAAACCAGGCCACCCCCCCCCCCACCTACCAGAAACCAGGCCTTTTCTGTCGCACACTGTTATGCGATCTTTTCAGAACCTTTAAATAAAAAGCTTAATTAACAGTCTGACCATGTGGAACAAATTCCAAAAGCATTATGAGTTGACATCTTCATCTGTTCGAGAAGTTGGCAGATGTCCAGAATGAGGTTTGTCTTCAATGAACATTTCATCTTTCTTGAAATGAGAAAACCACTCATACACCTCAGTTTTTCCCATAGCGCTGTGCTTGTAAGCTGTGTTCAACATCACAACAGTTTCTGTGGCATTTTCCCCGAGCAGAAGACAAGATTTCACAGCTGTTCACTGTCCTCTTAAATTGGCCATCACAAAAAATCGAAGTTCTAGCAAAATTGCTTTTACAAAAAAATTCACTGTGAACAAAGAAAAACTTCTCAGGTGATGCCACTGGTTGCACGAACTCAGAGAGAGTTGTTCAATGCTCACCTAGCGGGAAAAATGCATACTACGAAAACTCCACCCAGCACAACTCCATTTTTAGGGGGGAACCCCCTCATATCTCCTCCAATGGCCAAAAGGATATTATTCTTGAATTGCCACCCCACCCCAATTATTAACCTCTATGTCTCAATTTCCTTTGTTGTATTTTTTTCAAAATCTCCCTGTGATTCATTTACCAAAATATTTTTAAAATAAACATTTTTATTGTGTTAACTATATATACAACAAAAATATTTGTCATTTCAACAATCGTTACATACATTATTCAGTGACAGTAAATATGTTCATCATGTAATTCAACTGAATTTTCATAAAACTTCACTGTTCCCTAAACAAAAAATAATTTTCACATACATTGTTCACGCCAATAGTTTTTAAACTAGTTATTCATTGTAAATTTTCTTAACAACCTCCCTATCCTGAACTCAGCCAGACCAATTGGCAACTTTAGTTCAAACCCTCAGGAATTTATTTAGAAAGAAACAGTTGTTCTGGTAATCTGGTGGATACCTGCCTATAGCTGGGGTTATGTATCTTATGTTATCTTATGTCTTCATTGTTATAAGAGAAAGGAATTAACAAAGAGGAGAAAAATCAGGTCCAACCCTCACAGCTCACAAGTGGAGCTATTTACTACACATACTCAGGTTGTTGTTTCAGTCTCAGTACTAGCCAAAGTTAAAGCTCCGATTTGCATATTCTCAACATTCTGTGAAGGGACTAGTGTATTCCTCAATTCTATTGAGCCCTGCAAGATGACTGTTAGGGGGATTTGTATGTACTCAAATGTCTCAGCCTAGTTCAGAAGCTGACTTGTAGCTCTGTAGTACTGAGAATAGTTCTAAGAAAGAAACGATCTTTTGAACAATAACAGTTTCCTCATTATTAAAGTGGGAGATAAATGTGTTTATTGATTGTAATAGAACTTATCCACATTTGGACTGTTTGCATATTTTGCAGGAATATATGCTCCTTTGGGGAGAAGGTGTATTTCATACAGAATCTGATCATGCAGAGCACACCCCCCCCCCCACTACTCTGCGGTATTTGACATAGAATTACATATTTGACATAGAATCTTCACTTGAATTTATTCTCTAACTGGTGTTTATTAAATTGGAGGTCACTTTCCAACATGGGATTAACAAAAATGAAAAAACAAAAACTGAGGCGGGGGTAGGGTGGGGTGGGGGGAAGGTGCTACCAGTATTTGAAAACATGAATTATCATAATATAGACAATCTCACAATGTATTACGCATAGCAAAAGTGATTTTGTTTTTGATTGGATATTACTTTATTAAGTACCAAAAACAAGCCAGTTGCTGTCCAGTCAGAGCAGAACTTAGAGAAGTGTTCTCCACCATTTCTGCTTTTCAAATTTTATTTATTTTGTCCTTGGTGGTGGGAACATACACAGAAAACATATGCCAATTTAACTCAATAGGGATTTGTGACATTTTTATTATATTTAGAGAATGAATCTGTGTATTTCTTACCATGGGTCAGATCAGTAAAGATTGAGATCCGTAATTAGTCTTTCTTCTTCTAAGGACAGGTGAAGTATAGTGACTATAGGAATTTTATGGACCCCAACCACTAAAAACTATGTATTTTTGTCTTGGAACAGCCTTTGGTTTTAAGATAGTAAAATCAACCTAATCTTTATAATAAGTCAGATCTTTGGATAGTTTACTGCTGAATTAGTTTTGCTCAAGTCTACTTCAGAAACACCATTTCCAAATATTTATGTGACTGGACTTCATTTGACTTTCACTGCTTAAAAGGATTGACTTGCATCACTTTCTTTGGGATTCTGGGTTCAGTAACATGACGTGGCTTCCACACAGCCCTGGCTTTTGTTAGGCGGCAAAGCGAACTCATACGAACACATTTTGGAAGGAATACTGGAACGGTGACTTCTGGAGGTGCCTGAAAGAAGCCCAGTGGGAGGACTAGCATCCAGAGAACGTAAACTTCAGATGGACCTGAAGACCTGGTAAGGAAGAGCTCTCCCACTTCCTTCCTAGATCACCCTCAGGGGCATAGAAAGTCAGAATATGCCCTCAGAAGAGACAGTTTCTTAGGGCTACTTTGTCTCACATTGCAGACTGTCTCTTCCTCATTCCAAGTAGTCCTCTGCCTCTGAACAACACTCTCAATTTTAAGAATAAGGGCCAATCATCTTCCATCCTTCTTAGGAAATAGGGCTTGATAAGAGCAGTGAGAAGCAAAAATCTTGGATCTCAATTTGTGTGTGTGTGTACATAAACCAACTTACGTGACAATGTTAATGAAGAGAGGAAGAAGAAGAAGGAAGGGACTTCAGCTAGTCCTGAAGATTACAAATGATACCTGTTATTTGGTCTGATGCTTGGTTAAAAAAAGTGAATATCCATCAGCTAGGGACCTCAAAAGACAAACAATTTTGTATTTCACCATGCATTCTTTCAATAAGCATTTATTGAGAACTTATCATGGGCTACTAGGTAGCACTGCGCCCTGAGAGTGACAGAGATGACTAAGACAGAGTCTTAGTGCACAGCTTAGCGGTGAAGGTACTCACTTTAGGAGAGAGGGGCAGGATGTGACATCTGGAGTGGGTAGGAATGAACTGAGGCTAAAAGTTGATGAGGACCCTGGAAGGTGCACATCAGGATGCCCTTCATTGATAGCTGAAAGTGTTGAGGTTTGAGTTCACCCCGGGATGCTTGGATGAGAGTCCTGGTGATCTACGCCAAAGAGTTTAAAAATTGTGGAAGGAGGGAAGGAAGGAGAAAAATAGGTACAGCAGAGACTAGAAAAGAGCTAGATAGTGATTATATGAGTGTCCAGAATCTCTATGATTTGTAACCATCTTTAAAGACACAGGGAGTGAATTATGTGTTAACAGAATTGTTATATATAAACCAAAAGAAAACAAAAAACTAAAACAACCAAAAAAAAAGCCTGCTATCTCAAAATACCATATTTTTCCTAGAACTGTACTACAATGAAAAGTAAACAAAAGTCACACAGGACCACACACATTCACACAGGGGACCCTTTTGAATATGGGATGGAGAAAGTACCACTTACTGTGGGACTACAATGTCCAATCCAATCATTCCAATTATTATTTTTTTGAACAGTGCTTATAACTAAGTATTTGTAGCATGGTAAGTTTCCTGATTCAAACTAACACAGAGCATTAAGATACTAGAAAAATCTGATAAGAAACAACCAGAAAAGATATGATGTCCTGGAAAGTCTGTCATTTTAAAAAGAAAGTTCTTTCTCTTTCAAAGAACAAACTGAAACCAATCTCACAATCACATAATCACATAGATCCTTCTTCTTTCTTTATAAAGCACATGTAAGTATAACTATCATTTTGATTTTAAAATAGTGCGGTAAAGATTCTATGACTCTCAGAAGCAACAAAGCCCACATGGAACAACATATCAACCTGTGTGATCAATGTGGCGAAGAAAGCTGATGGTGCCCGGCTATCAAAAAGTATAGCGTCTGGGGTCTTAAAGGCTTGAAGGTAATCAAGCGGCCATCGAGCTCAGAAGCAACAAAGCCCACATGGAAGAAGCACATCAGCCTATGCAACCATGAGGTGTCGAAGGGATCAGGTATAAGGCATCATCAGAACAAAAAATATTACCATAGTGAATGATGGGGGGAGTTCGGAGTGGAGATCCAAAGCCCATTAGTAGGCCACTGGAGATCCCCTTGCAGAGGGGTCTCAGGGAGGAGATGAGCTAGTCAGGGTGCGATGTAACAACGATGAGAAATACAACTTTCCTCTAGTTCCTAAATGTTTCCTCCCCGCTCCCACTACCATGACTCGAATTTGACCTTGCAAGTCTGGCTAGACCAGAGGATGTACACTGGTACAGATAGGAACTGAAAATCCAGGGAATCCAGGGCGGATGAGCCCTACAGGACCAGTGGAGTGAGTGGTGAAACAGGGAGGGTAAAGGGAGAATGGGTAGGAAAGAGGGAACCGATTACAAGGAACTATATGTGACCTCCTCCCTGGGGGACAGACAACTGAAAAGTGAGTGAAGGGAAATGTCGGACAGGGCAAGATATGACAAAATACCAATTTATAAACTATCAAGGGCTCATGAGGGAGGGGGGAGCGGGGAGGGAGGGGAAAAATGAGGACATAATGTCGGGGTTTAAGTGGAGAGCAAATGTTTTGAGAATGATGTACAAATGCGCTTTACACAATTGATGTGTGTATGGATTGCGATAACAGTTGTATTCAACCCTAATAAAATGTTAAAAAAAAAAAAAGATTCTATGACTCCTGTTTTTCCCTGTAAATCACTTCCCCCCAAACAGAACAAAGTGAACAACAACAAAACACATGAAACACAAGCTCCGACTTTTAACAAACGAAAATACTCATGTTAGTGAGACCATTGCACCTCTTGCACTTATTCCTCACGTTATCTACTCTCGTTACCCAACATTTTATATTTATAACGATAGCAAAAAAAACCCCTACTTTTTTACTACTACAAACTTGTGCATTAATAATGTATGTCTAACAGTAATGAACACTGAGGTGGGAAGAAAGAGAAACACTGCTGTGATGGTTAAGGGTATGTGTCAGCATGCCAGGGCCATGATTCGGGGGTTTGGTACTTATGGCACACTGAGTTATGAGTTGGGCTGCTAATGGCAATGGAAAGAAGAAACATTGTATTTCCATAAAAAGTTATAGTCTTGGAAACTGACAGGGGAAGTTATACTTTCTCCTATCGGGTCACTATGAGTCAGAATCAACTCAAGCTAGTGAAGGTTTTTTTGAGTAATAATGTAGACATCTTTAATTTTGTGATCTGATGTAGTTATCCTCCATTTTCATGTAATGCCAATTTATGCATAATGATCTAGTCTTTTGAAATTAACCATGTTAATAAATGGGAGTGGGTACAGTCATAAATTAAGAAATTTGAGGGAATGACATTCAGGAGAGGTAAAACTACAGAGACAATAACTAGATTAATGGTCCCTTGGAGGTATGGCAGAGGAGGTTGGGGGGAAATGAGGAGCTAATAGCAAAGACAAGAATGAATAAAAAAAGAAAGAATAAAGAAAATGTTCTAAAATTAATTGTGGTGATGATTATACAACTCTTCTTGATGTGATTAAATAATTGAATTTTATGATATGTGAATTATATGCCAATAAAACTATTTTTTAAATTACAAATTTGTTCCCCAAAAATAATACAACCAAAATGTTCCGTAACTGCAAGGATTTCAGCTTGCTGTCCTCGGATGTCAGGAAAGGCCAATAGCCAGCAAAGGACAAAGTGGTTGGCAGAGAACCAGTGAAAACAAACAGACACCCTGAGTGAGATGGATTGACCCAGTGACCGAACCAATGAACTCAAATATATCAGACTGTGGAAACGATGTTGGACCCACAGCGTTTCTGTTATCCCAAGGTTGCTGAGTCAGAGCTGACTGGACAACACCTAAAAAGGGCCTACCCAGATGTATCATCTCAGGGATCCCTGTTGATGAAGAAATAGGTTTCCTTTCCTACAAGAGTGATGACTGTGTGTCACAAAATCCTGGGACGGTCAGTCAATCACTGCATAGGCACTACCCAAAGCCTTCCTCCCCGAGTCTGGTTCCCCTTGCTCCCTGGTTTCTCCAGGGCTCA